GGTTTGAGACGGGGCAGTCGCATAAATAAGTGAAATCGGACAGGACAGACAATGGAGTTAGAGTTGGATGGCTGAGCTAACATCCTTGACTCCTTGCAGCAGCGGCCCCAAAGAATTATTGGAGCTAAACGGCGGCTGAAAACTCGTAAGGGAACTGGCCTTCTTTGGAATCCGGGAAAGGAAACTGTAATTCGAAATAGCGTGCCGAATCGTTCAGCTCTTTCAATTTAAATTTTAATTTAAATTCTTGACTCTCAAAGTTTTTTACCAGTACCTCTGTTCCACTGAGTGAAAAACTACAGATTAAAATTCAATTCTGTAAAATCTATTTACAAACTTTTAGAATTTTGTTGAAAATGTCAGCTTTAAATAATTTTTTGAATGCCTCGCATTAATAACAAGGAATGTCAAAGGGAATAGAAATGCTATAAGATGTTGTTATAATTGTTAATAATTTTTTTAGGCGATTTTATTATTTTAAAAATTACTTAAGAAAGGTTTTAGTTTAAAGGGTTTTCGATTTTTTTGTTTAGCATGTGGTTGTACCCGAACAATCAGTTGTAGGTACTTGGTTATGTCTACATATTGTATTGTAGCTAGATATTTTGAACAAAAACATAAATGTAAATACTTGAGCAGCTATTATTTATAAAGACAAGACTCAGAGTTTTTTTTGTTGTGTATGAACTTGTATTTGTTCAACCCTATAATAACCCAAACATATTTTAGAAGCTTAGCCAGTACTAATGTGGCTTATTTGCGGGGAAAGGACTCCCATCTAATGCACTCGAACTAGCGTGAACCCAAAAATAGCTCCTGCCTTAATTGCCATTCAATGGTCAATTAAAGGGACATGACTGTGGGACATGACCATCGACATGTCAATTTGGATTTCGGGGGTTTTAACACAAAGGCAATTTGCCACCCCATCGACCAGCTGGCCAAAACATCCACATCCACGGCTACTTTGGGTGGATTCAATTGAAAAACAAGCTTTTGGTTTTACGGCGCTTTGTTCGCCTTTCTGTGGGCCATTGGGCCCTCGACTTTGCTTTTCCATTGGTTCCACACGAGCGCTGTGCCGGCATGCGAACTACATAGTTAGATTAATTTGGCCAGCGTCACAAATACAATTACGAAGTCATTTCAATTTATTTAGCGTGCGACACCCCGGGCGAAAAAGAGCCACGGCCACAGGATGCGGTTGCTTTGGGGGAAATAAATGTGTTTTAGACCGCTTTCCTTTCGGGACATTTCAGCGGTTAAGAGCGCTGATACTCCGCCAAAAAGTTCAAAATCACTCAAATGGCAGGGCTTTAATTTTTGCTTTGCCACCCTACGCGCTCGCTTTTTTCACGCCAAGCGATTTGTCAAAGTGGCTGCTAGGGCACATACCCATAACCATCCTATATATCCACTGGCTTGACTATTATTGAACGATAAATTGATTAGATATGCGTGTGTGCGGGGGTGTGACAACTTTCTCCGACTCTCCCGCTGACGATTTTGATACTGATGGCGGAGCTACTTCTGCTGCTGATTCTTATTGCCGCCTCAAATTGCCATTTCAATGTTAATTTTATTAGGGTGTCAGCAATAAATTCCGTTCAATCTTAAATACCATAAAAAGCGCTACTCTGCCACACACACACACACTCACACATGCGAGTCCTCGAACAAGCAAATCCACTCGGCCCCCCGCTCAGACTCACACGTCCAGGATGCAGGCCCATACGCTCAACTTCCATTATCGCCAGCCGCTCGAACCTTATTCAAATCTCGGCCCAAAAATTATACGAAAATGTCGCACACAAAAAGAAACACTATTAAATAAATATACTCTGTTTGTAAGGGAAAATATAGGGAAAAGTAGCTTTTTATAAAACTTATTCTCTAAAAAACCAAAAATCCCTTTGTATTTTCAAGCGATTTTAAACAAAGCAAAATTAATAGACACAAAAATTATTAAGATATTGCTTAAGATAACTTGTTAATTTTCAGCTTAAGTATTTTAAATTTAATCCTTAAAATCAGTTTCTTGTACTTAGTTTACAATCTAATACTTTGACATAGAATCCTCTCACCGCTTTTTATTTAAAAATGTATTTTAATTTATTTATTTTATTTTTATTTATAATGGGCCATCAATTTGGGTACCTTTTGTGCATCCTGATAGTATAACTTGCAAATATATTTTATTTAGTAAACAATCTAATACAGTGCCAGAGAAGTATAAAATGAAGCCTTACAAAATAGTTTTTTAATAATGTATTTTTGTTTGGTTCAATTTATGTAATGTTTATAAAGGTATACTTTTGGGCACTTTCGGGCACTTTCGGGCACCCTGATAGTACTACTTGCAAATGCTTTGTATTTTGCTCTGTGTCAGTTCATAACTTCTGTAGGCCACAAGTTATCCATCAAATGGCCGCTTAGCACTCGAGCAGTCGGGATTTCGGTCAGAAGCATAAACCGTTTTCAGATTTACATGCAGGCCTCGCATGTTTCTGGCGGCAGTTGTTCGCCTATATATATATATATGCCTATATATATATGTGGTTTCTGGTGTTGTCCGGTTGTCCAACCAAGTGGCCCATATTGATGGCCGTGGCCACAGCTCCCAGCGAAAAGTTTGAAACGATTCATTTGTCTTTCTACATGACCAACTCGAAACTTTCGAAACAATTACGCCCAGCAAAATGGCCAATAGAGAGCAGAGACCACTCCTTTGCTCCTGGGCAAATCCCCTAGCTGAGCATCGTTAAAGTCGCATTTTTAAGCCAAATGTGACATAAACTGCCTGGTTATGTCATTTGGGGACATTGAACCCACAGCCCATTCCGAGATCCTGGGCCACAACAAACAAAGTGCACAGCTTGGCCCAAGGAAAAAGGACATGATCCAGGCTCGCAGTCAAAAGCATCCGGACAGGAACAATCCCCAGGAACTGGCCAATATGGTGTGCCCATAATGAATTTATCAAATTAATCAAACTGGCGCTGCCCATGGCCCCTTCACCCCCATCCCAGCCACTACTCAATCGCAAACAACACCGGAAGCTTCTGTTTACCCGTCCAAGTGTCCGTGTCCCCCGGTCCAATCCTCATCCTCATCCTCATCCCGGGATGTGTGTGCTTGGCTCTGTATGAGCATAATGTAATTAAGCGAGTTGCGCGCCGCAAAGATGGGGATTTAATAAAGCCATTTGGCTGACAACAGCCATTCGGCTGATGAGGATGAAGATGGCCAGCAGACGCCATCGGCGGTGGCTCTCGGCGATAATCGCCGTCTGCCAGGCGACAGTGTCACTCGAGATGCGAGCAAACATCCAATTCAGGAGCGTTGTCTGGGGATGAAGCCGTTAAACAGTAGTTAAATGTGATCAGAGTAGGGGCTGAAGAGCCTAAGTATTCCAATTTATAAAACATGTCAACAGAATATGCATCCCTAATCGAATTTGAATATAAAAAATTGGTTTTCCCAGCCAACTTTCCACAAATATTTACTTTGATCTGCTATGGTAGTCGCGTTTTTAAAATTTAGGATCACTATTTTTACAATTTCTTTTTACCTTTAAGAATGGTAAACGAACTTTTGTATTAAATTTGGAAAAAAAAAATTAAGTAATCTGTTGAAATCACAGCTTGTCAAAAGCAATTAAATATCAAACAAATATATTAAATATAATATTTTCACCCAGATATTATTTTCAAAAAAGAATTTCTTATAAATTTAATTTTGTAGACGTTCATAAAGTAGCTTCAAGCTACTTTGAATTTTAAAAAATTATATATATTTTAGTTTAACAGCCTTAACATTCACGATTTTGGAAACGTGTACTGTTTCAAAACTTCTACTGGGAAAAAACAGGATCCAATACCTTGACGAATTTGTCAAATGTTTTTATCAACTTTTCAGATTTTGCTTATAATTTAGCTGATTACTAAAAAAAAAAGCACAAAAGTCTTTGTTATTCCAAATCCTTTACTTAAATGTATCAACAACTCTTAGAGGTATCATTAAGCTAGAGACTGCAAAAACTATAATAATATCATACTATATATATATATATACTTTGATTGAAAACAAAAACTCACAATTATTTGTGATTCTTTTATGAGTATTGTTTTGAGCGAACCAAATTTTTTTTATCGACAAATTTGCTCAAAATCTAACTTTTGCAGCAGTTTTGATATCGACCCACAGTCGAATTAAATTCAGCTTAACTCAAATACATCTAAAAACAATTTCTAAGACATAAGGCAACTTTAAAAAGCAAAAAATGACGAACTTCTTATTTCGGTGGCCAAAAATGTTACCTGATAAATGTTGCACTGTTCACAAAAAATAAAAGTGAATCTTTAAAATATATATAGTAATGTAACTTTCTTCTTTACGTTACCAAAATTGACAAGTTCGTCGAATTGAAAACACTTGTGGCAATGCCTTAAAAGTGTGGGCAAAATGTGTTCCCAAAACGCTGAAACCATTTTCATACTATACCCTTATATGTCAAGCTGTACTCAGCTTGGGACGAACCCTGCTTTCAGTTAAGACCCATGCCACTGTCCTGGTGGCTTCGGTCCAGTGCCCTTTGGTCAAGGGCTTTGGGGGGCGCGTGATGAGCTTGTTTATGACGGAGGGGGGCCGGATGCTCTAATGTTATGTAAATGACAGCGCCTAATGAACTTTTCATTCATTATCGTTAGTTAGCCGGCCTGGCGGTCAATGGCCGGTTATTTCCTGATCCTGGGCAGGACACTTAAATGCTAATCCCATTGCCGTTTCAGACACTTCAGGCCGCGGACGACAACCGCAAAGCCCCACTGATTGATTTGTTTAATGCAGCCGGATCCGGCGATAGAAGAGTATCCGCGAGGCCGTTGGACAACTTAATTTCATTAGCGCGTATTTAAGAGTGGGCATAAACTTGCCAGCTGGGTCATTACAACGGATTTCAGCCGGACAGCCCCTCGCAGCCCCCCACTTAATTGACCAGCGGGCGGTGGCGGCAGCAGCCCATCCTCGTCCCATCCTGCGAGCCGCGACGATGTTGTCCCTGTGATTCCATTGCGAGACGCACACTCCGAGGGCCGCAGGACGACGACGAGGACACCGACATTGCTGAGGGGCAGCCACGGCGTCGCTGTGGCCAGGATTGGGCAGCTTCCACGGCTGACCAGCATTGGCGTAGGCCCGAGGATCTGCCTGTGGCGCCTGCTCCCGCTCTTGCTCCTGCTCCTGCTTCTGCCTGTTGTCCCGCTCCAGGCCCAAGATGCACTCCCCGCAGCAGCAGCATCCGGCGCAGCAGCAACCACGTCGTCGCAGCAGGCTGGGATACCCCGTGGCGCTGCTAGTGGCGGCCATGGCCCACACCACGCAACTCATCGTGTTCCAGCCGCAGGATTTGACCACCAGGATAACTCCACCGCAGCCGCATCAGCCGTTACAGCAACATCTGAAACCGCAGCAGCAACAGCAGCAGCCGCAGCAGCAGCAACATCCACATCCAAGGACGATGCCGATGCCGATGCTGAGGCGATGCTGCCACAGATTCCGTCGTATATCCGCACAACCGCCATGTTCTTCTGCATAGTCATCATGCTGCTGGGCGTGGTGGGCAACGTGATGGTGAGTCCTCCTCCTTTTCTCACTCTCTACAAAAAGTAGGCAAAAGCATTTGTAATTGAAATTAATTCATTCGGAAATGGCACTTAGGGAGCGCAGGGAGATTCACCCTTTTTATGCAAAGCAAACTTTTAATTGTTTAGAAAATTCATTCGTTAAATATGCTTAAAAATTAGTTCTTAATTTTAAAATATATATATATATAAAATATAAAAAGAGTAAAGACTCTTTTATCATAGATGTTATCATATGGTGCACCGTTATAATGAAATAAAATCAAAAGGTTTTTCTGAAATGTTCGTGCTTCCGCCTATTTGTTGAAACTTTGGATAGTGAAAATCTAAAAAACATGATTTTTGTAATTTTTGGTAGTCAATTCGAAATGTTTCTGAAAAATTGTGAATTTGTATTTGTTTTCGGGGAGAATCGAACTCGGGCCTCGGCACTTTCTAATATTATGTTATTGAGCCGGTAAAAGTGATTGCAAAGCCGTTTTATAAGTCTTAAACTTTTAAATGAGATTTAATTTATAATTTATTGTACATATTATACACTGAATACAGTTATGAAAATTTTTCAGACGACCTACTAAGCATTTTAGAACTCTATTCGTCAAAATGGAAATTGTGTTTTAAAATAATTAAGCTATCAAAAAAGATTTTTAAGAGTAATATAATGTAAAATTCAATTTGCTGCTCAATTCACTATTAAATGTCTTACATGCACAACAAAGCGACCCATAAACTGATCTATGTTTAACTTTATGGAAACTTTGTAATTGAACATTTCGTAAAACAGTTTACTTCTGACGCGAAATGCGGCCTGATAGAATTCTACGCAGAATGTTTCACCACATTTGTTCAAGTCGGAGCAACAGATGGTTGCTCGAACAAACCAGGATTATTTGACTGAGGAGCTCCTTAGGGCTGTCAAATCTGTAAGCCCGTTTTAAGTCCCCTCCGTTGCAGGTGCCCATCGTGATTGTGAAGACGAAGGACATGCGCAACTCGACGAACATCTTCCTCACCAACCTGAGCATCGCCGACCTGCTGGTGCTGCTCGTCTGCACGCCCACCGTCCTCGTCGAGGTTAACACCCGCCCGGAGACCTGGGTCCTCGGCCACGAGATGTGTGAGTTGCCTACTGGTCTGTTTGTTTTTCCCCAGACTAATTAACTGAACTCTCTCTACCAGGCAAGGCGGTGCCGTTCGTGGAGCTGACGGTGGCCCACGCCAGCGTGCTGACCATCCTGGCCATCTCGTTCGAGCGCTACTACGCCATCTGCGAGCCGTTAAAGGCCGGCTACGTCTGCACCAAGGGGCGGGCCATCCTCATCTGCGCCTTGGCCTGGGGCATCGCAGCGCTCTTTACGAGGTAAGCGGTCGGCTCCGCCTGGACATGGAGCACTGCGTCCCGCTTTTCCTTCTATTTAATTAGACTTTGGCAGTTTAATTTCGATAAGCGCACTTAGTGCGGTTGCTTCATTGCATGCTCTGTAGTGGTGTTGGTAGTCCTATATGTACATATATGGTGTTATCCCGGTCAGATCTAGCCAAGTTTAAGGCTTATTTTCATTTATTCATTTTGGCCAGTCAAGCATTCAGCGACTCGCTCATTAATTATAAGTGTCAATCGCCGTCATTTTAATGATTTGTGTTTTGTTTTCGGGTTTTCCGCTTTTTTCCATTTTGTTTACTTTCCATTATGTTGTGGAATTTCTGGTGTGTCTTGGTGTTTGACCTTTTGTGTGCCATCGGCGTGTCCATTTACATGCTAAACTGTTTCATTTTCCCTCCTATTTCCTGCTTTTCCTGCCCTCCTCACATCATCATTCCTACTGACATCCGGACGGCTTTTGTCCGGGCTGGAGCTTCTTGTTATCAGCGTCCTGTCATCTTTAATAAGCACCGATGTTCGCTATCATGGATTTCATTTCATTGACACTTTATTATTGTGTGCTTCGTCCAAGGACGACCGGCGACCCTTTTTAATTTTGCAAATCTTGCCGCGTCCCTAACAATGAAATAAACAGCACATTCTCGGGCCGGCCACTGACCCCTCCATTTGGGCAATACGGGTGGGTGGTGGGGGTGGTGGGGTCACGGCCGGAATCGGTCGGTCCGTGGGACACCCGCCTCCAGGCCGAGACCCATTAATTACGCCACACCACACCAGAAGCCGAAGGCCAACAGCAGCGGAGAAACATTTTAAAACACATTCAAACCGGCGCGCCGCACGACGCCCATGGGCGCAGCCAAAAAAAGGGGCGGGGCACATTGCTGACGCACGTCCAAACCGCCCGGATAATCGTCAGAAAAAAAAAATAAAACAGCCACCGCCTGTTGACTGTCACATCTTTCGGTCTAGCCGGCGAGGATTTGGGCAGGATTTGGGCAGGGGAACTGTTTAATCTGCGTTTCGGGTTACTCAAAACAACCAAAGGACATTTAAGCTTGTTTGTTTAATGCAAATATTTACTCAAGTCGAAGAAAAATGTAAGACTAAGATAGTCATAGATTAACTTTCTACTGTTTCAGTTCTTGGTATGTTGGCAATATATTTTGTTTTAGGAATGTCTATTTATTAATCAGTTTTAAAATCAGTTTCATATTTGGTAATGGTTGTTTGGTAAGCTTTATTTTGTAAAAAAAAGTTTATTTGCATTTCATTTTATGTGTGTTAAAATTAAAAGAAATAATTTTGAATTTTTTATACTCGTAGAGTAATATTATATATTACATTCGCTGCAAAGTAAACGTTAATGTTTTTGACGCCTTTATATATTTCTTTTAAATAACTGTTATTTTCAATTTAAGGAGCTTGACTATAGCTTTAGGTTTCAATGACATTGATAACTGCGCGCAAAGTAAATTTGCTCGCTGCCACTTGGAGAAATAAAACAAACCATAAAAGCAGAAACAGGTCATGAAAATCTGTTCCAATCCAGACAGGTTCATAAGAGACTTGAACTTCAGCCCGGACTGGGTTAACCTTTCGTTCTTAGTCATAGGTTCATCGTCATCACCTTCCTTTCTGCCTTCCTTCCCTGTCTTTCTTCCTGCCACTCTAGGCCCTTTTCCCAATTGCCACCCCGTATCCATTATCCATTACCCACTACCCATTACCCTTTATCCACTTCCCCGGTGACCCCGCCACCTGATTACGTTTCTCGTTTGCTTTCTCTCCCCATCTGCGATTTTGGCCGAGCAGCCCCATTCTGTGGGTGGCCGAGTACAAGCTGGCCGAGTACGTTGATGGATCATCGGTGGCCGTGTGCCTCACGCAGGCCATCACCGACTGGACGCTCGCCTTCTTCCTGATGACCATCTCGGTGTTCTTTGTGGTGCCGTTCGTGACCCTGGTGGTGCTGTACGGCATCATCGCCCGGAGTCTGGTCTCCAACCGGGCCGCCATGCTGCGTGCCCGTCCCACGAAGCCGGAACTCAGTCTGCGGGCCCGCAAGCAGGTGGTCCTCATGCTCGGCGCCGTGGTGCTGTCCTTCTTCGTCTGCCTGCTGCCCTTCCGGGTGCTCACGCTGTGGATCATCCTTAGCACGGACCAGACGCTCCACGACCTGGGCCTGGTGCGCTACTACAGTCTGCTCTACTTCTGCCGAATCATGGTGTACCTCAACTCCGCCATGAACCCCATTCTCTACAACCTGATGTCCACGAAATTCCGTAGGGGCTTTGCGCGGCTTTGTCAGGATGCTGGACGGCTACTGCTGGACCTGGTCACCCTGGGCAGGCGGGAGGAGTACTCCTCTCGTGGCCGCAGTGGCACCTTGTCCCTGGGCATGGCCACCAACACGAATACCACCTCCTCGAACGCCACGGCAGTCACTAGCTCCAGTCTCCTGTCGCGGAGTTCCAATCGCCGCTGCAGCGAGGACATCAGTCGCACCCGCCTCAAGATTGAGATGCAAATGCCGTGCGGCAGCGACCTGGAGGCCATGGCCATGCTGCAGCACTCGACATTGGGCAGGGGAATGGCCAGGCGAGTGAGTGACAGTCGGCAGGCGCGACGCCACAGACTGCAAATAAGTTTCGATGAGGAGGCATTGGACGGAAAGGAATTGAGTGAGGCAAAAATCCAGGCTGCAGAACAGAAGGGAACTGAAATGAAATAGTAAATCTACCCAGGAGAGCGATGAGCGTGAAAAATCGCCTGTAACCCGTTTACACGCTCGCTTCACTTGGCCGGAATGTGCCGATGACGCCGATTTGATCCTGGCAAACAAAAATCGCAACCCGAACGCTTTGGCAGGCCATAATCGATTTCAGTCAACCGTTGACAGCTCCGAGCATCGCCTTGGACATTTCCGTACAAAAAACAATCAATTTTTCGGGCTATTAAACTCGAATGAATGTGCCAAAGATAAATAACAGCAACGACAGCCGAACAGCCGAACAGCACTACAACTACCTATCACTACTGGTCAGAGTTTGGAGTCGTGCTCTGCATTGGGGGTAAGCCATTAAGCGGCAATACTTTGGAAGAGAGAGGAAGAGGGAAATGGAAATGTAAATGGCTTAATATGCGTTTTGGTGCCCCATCAAGGCGGCGGATAAACATGATTTAGGTGTATTGGGATAGTTTCCGTACGACGGCCATGCGGCCATTGCGGCCCAAACAAAATGGCCGCCATTACACGGGCGGCCATCACCGGATGTCCGAAAAAAAAACTGTTGCCTACTTGGCGGCGGCTCAAATAAAAAGCTTAGCACATGTAAACACAGCTGTACATACACCACACACACACACACGCACACACACCTACGCAAACATAGCTCAATATTAATATTTATATTTATATTCATACGAACATATTTATATATACGATACACTCAGCTTATAAATACAACGCCACACACGCACGCACGCACAAGAAGAGCAAAGAGTTTGTATGTAAGTACGTAAATAAATTTTTTATGACAACTCATGACGGGTCAAAGGAATCGTCTTTTTCAACATTTCCCCATACAACCGGAACCTCTAATCATTTTGCCAGCAGCAGCAGTGTAATTTATGTAATTCCATGGAAATCGGACAAATGCCCAGCCTCTGTAAATATACGTATTAGCTTTTTAATTTGTTTTCGTAGCCCCATGACGTAGATCTCTTTCGTTTTGTAAAGTAATAAAGTAGATAGAACCCACACCATCCTGCGAGTATGATGAGTATGAGCAGACGTTGCCGTTGCCGTTTCCGTTTCCGCTGTATGATTAAGTTGAGTGCTTCGCCCCCGAAACTTTTCCAGTAGTTGGCCATTGAGTAGATTTTAAATATTTGTTTGTTTCCTGCTAGCAGCGCGTTAAAACTTTGCAGACAACACCACCAGCCACCGAATGCCACTCGCTCGACCCCACTAACACGATAAATATGATTCTTGCAGTCCCATCATCGCCATATCCAGCTACAGCGTGGAGCCCTATGGGGATGGTACCGACGCCCCCGTTTGCACCACCGCCGCCGATGGCTTCTGGCCGATCTTCTACTTTGTGGGCAGCATCACGGTCTTTTTCTTTCTGCCCTTCGGCATTCTGGTCCTTCTGTACGCGGCGATTGCCTACAAGCTCCTGCGTCCGAACACTGCCTTCCATCGACCCACCTCCCCGCAGCCACAGCCTCAACCACAGCCGCCGGTGGGCGGGGCAGCCAGTAGCTCCACCCAGGTGCCATGTGTCAGCTCCAAGGGCAGCAGCCATCAGCAGAGCAACGGAATGAGAAAGCACCGCAAGCAGGTGATCTTCATGCTGGTGGCCGTCGTGTCCAGCTTCTTCGTGTGCCTGCTGCCCTTTCGCGCCTTCACCCTGTGGGTGATCCTGGCCAGCGCCGAGGATGTGGAGAGCCTGGGCCTGGCCGGCTACTACAATCTGCTGTACTTTTCGCGCTTTATGCTCTACCTCAACTCGGCCATGAACCCCATCCTGTACAACCTGATGTCCTCGAAGTTCCGCAGCGGCTTCTGGCGACTGCTGCTCACTTGTCTGGGCCAGCGGCCGCACCACCGTCATGGCCATCACTACCACCAGAGACAGCACCCGGCGGCGGGCGGAAGTGGGCGCACCACATCCAGACGTCGGGAACAGGACGCCGAAGAGGGAGCCACTCTGGCCGGATCGGTCGGTGCCCGTCATCCGCGCCGCACCCTCCGCCGAGAGGCCACCTTTCTGATCAACTCCATATCCACCTCCTCGGGCACGGACCGCACGACCTCCTCGTCTGCGTGGCGCAGCAACAGTCTGTCCGTTTCCGGGCTGAGCGAGCGAGAGCGGGGCATCCTGGGAGCCGCTATCATCGGGACGACGGCTGCTACTGTCACCACCGCCTGTCTGCAGGAGCGGCGAGCCAGCAAGATATGAAACCCATCCTCCGAATCCTCCACTGCCAGCAACCGTTCAAGTATTTAGTTGAATTCCAACAGCAAATAGTCATAGATTAGAACAAATTTTGTTGTAAAGACTGAAGTACCTCAGAAGAAGTCAATAAAAGCTAGAGAAGATGTTTTTGAAACCAATAAAAACAAGAAAGGAAGCAAACTTCGGCAAGCCGAAGTTCATAGTCCCTTGCATCTATTGCAAAAATTAAATATTTATGAAAACACTAAAATTATGGTTTATTTGCGTATGCTTAAAAACATTGAAGCTATGATGGTTTGCAACTCAATGATTTGATCATTCCTATGGAGCTATATGATATTGTTTTCTGATTTGAATAAAATTAAAAGCGTAATTCTAAACTGTCAAATTATTAAAAAGTCAAAAAGAATTTTTAAAACAAATTACAAAATAGAAAAGTAATATTTTTTTTTAATTTTTTATACCCTTGCAGAGATATGTTTCCGACCCCATAGAGTATATATATTCTCGATTAGGATCAATAGGGGAGACGGACATGGCTAGATCAACTCACCTAGTGATATGATCAAGAACATATTTACTTTATAAAGTCGGAGATGTCTCCTTCACTGCTTTGCAAACTTCTGACTAATATTATAATAAATTATAATATAATAAAGTTCTGAAACTAATCACTGAAAGGTTAGACTTTTAAAACTGCAGATCGCCTCCCTGATTCAAAAAATGATACTCAACATTTTTGGTATGGTACCATTTTCGATTTCGGTCGATTATTTTACAAGGAATATAACATTATTCAACTTTCATATCCATTATAAGGATAGGGTTTCTTATATAGATGCTAGACCTCGACAAAGTTTGATCAAGTCGCTAAAACTGCAACATAAACTAATTTTTAAAAAATATAAGCCTAAAAACCAATAATCATTTTATTATTATTATTTTATTAACCTAAAAAAAACCCGTATAAGCCGGCGGATTATTAAGTTTTTTTTTATAAATTCGGGTTTTGTTTTATAATCGGACAACGATATTAAATATATGTCATAGGAAATATTTATCATAATATGTAATAAGACAATCGATATATGAAACTTCGTTGTCTTACAAACTATATAGCTCGATATCTAGATGATTTTTACGAAAACAAAAAAGAAGTTAAATACAGAACAAATAAATGCAAAAGCGGCATAACCGTAGGGACTGACATTAATTTTTATGTGAATATACATGTAACACTAAAGTTAAGGCAAATTAAATTCGGCCTGCCGAAGCCAGTTTTCTTTCTTGTTTATTGAATATAAGTTTATTTAATTCTATTGTTTGGTGTTGATAAAAACACAATCAATTTTAAAGTCAGTAATTGGAACACTATGTGGTCGCCAAAAAAAAAAAATTATTAATAAAAATAAAATTATGACAAAACAATACAGAAAGATTTGGAAATTGCTTAATTTACCCTGCGGAACCTCAATTCTTGACATTTAAAATAGACACTAGATTAATGAGATTTTTGAGGCTCAGCAGGGTAATGTAAGTAATTACCAAAACTTTCTTTATTGTTCTAACTAAATCCATTATGACACATTTTTTTAATTCCAAATATTTAACAACAATTTCTCTAATAATATCAGTTTCCCTTACAGAAGGGTGTGCCAAAACTATTTAGTTGTGTGCCGGCTTGTGCCGGCCTTCACTTTAGTCTTTGGAATCTGTCCAAAATTGTGGAATAAAACAAATCGTTAATGGGCTTCGGTACAGATTGATTTTATTTGACTTTAGCGAAATTAAGATTCAAATTCGGGCGACAATGAAAACCAAAACTAAGGTGTATATTTGTGTCCTTGATCCCAAACCTTTTCAATTTATATATGTACGCTCTCGCAATAATTTTTATTAAACTCCATCGCTATGTCGTCATTATTACACTAATTATGTGCCTAAACAAATCCCTTGCGTCACACGAAAATACAAACACACAATCGCTCGAGGTTAATTCTAAAAATGTTCGTTCGGTTTTGGGTTCCTTTCGATTTACATAAAATTTCAATATGACAGAGACAAGTGGCAAGCACTTTCGCTAGAGATAATATGTTTAGAAAATTGTATTTGTAATTTAAACACATACATATGTATACATAGTGGTAAGTAGTAGCTGACACAGTACAAGTATAATTGCTCTTGCCGTCGCCTCCGCTCCGCTCAATTAATGTGTAGTTTAACAGTACATATTGGTTTCGGTATCGTTTCGCGCTGCTGTGATAGGTAAGTTCTTACTTTAGGTTAGTTATATTAAGTTAATTGCTACACCGAATTTGCTTGCTTTGCACTACTTATAAACAGAACTCTGCTGAAATCAGAAATACGGTTAGTATCAGGATCGATGTCCTTGTGTGTGTGTGTGGGGATGTCTGAAGTCTGGATCTTGTTGGCTACGTACCTAATACATATTTGCTTAAAGTGTGTATCGAATTGAATCACGGTTAGGATCATACAAACGCTCTACTCGTCATTCCTCATCATTATTGTTATTACAGAATTAATTTTTTAATTGCGATTTTGAGGAATCGCCATCGCTTTCGCTTTCGCTTCTGTTTTTGTTATTATTGTGTGGTTTCCGTTTTAATTTATTATATTTAAATTTTGTTTAATTGTATAATAAAATAATGATTCACAATCAGAGTTATTCAGCAGCAACCCGATTTGGTGTTTTCCACTGGACGTCCTTGATCGATTTTCACTTTGCTAGCGTTGTCGGTGGCGCTGGACGGCGGCCCGACGCGATTCTTGATCTCGGCCGCCATCGTCATGAAGGCCTGCTCCACGTTGGTGGCGCTCTTGGCCGAAGTTTCAAGGAATGGAATGCCTAACTGGGCAGCGTACTCCTGCAGGGTCGAAAACAAGGCACCTGGTTTAGTAAACCTTTCTTCTCCCAACAACCCCCTCCCTTTACTCACCGCAGCTGTGGTGTGGTCGACGACCTTCTTGGTGGTCAAGTCGCTCTTGTTGCCGACCAGCAACTTGTTGACATTCTCGCAGGCGTACCGCTCGATCTCCTCCAGCCACTGCTTCACATTGTTGAAGGACTCCTGGTCCGTGCAATCGTATACGACAATAATGCCATGGGCGCCCCTATAATATGACGACGTGATGGTGCGGAAGCGCTCCTGGCCAGCAGTATCCCACTGTAAAGAGTCATGTCAGTCTGGATCTTGATTGCATCCACCTACTTTATGCTTACGATTTGCAGTTTAATGGTCTTTCCGTCCAGTTCTATGGTCCTGATTTTCTGCAAAACAAAGGTTTTATAAGTCAGATATTACAAATTTTCACAACATTCCAGTTGGCTTACGAAATCCACTCCGATTGTGCTGATATAGCTCTCTGTATATGTGTCATCGGCAAATCGCAATAGAAGACAGGACTTTCCAACGCCCGAGTCGCCAATCAGCAGCAGTTTAAAGAGATAGTCGCTGCAAAATGAGGAATGATTACTTTTAGTCTTTGAAATATATCACATAATTAATCTTGGGAAACACATATATACAAAATTTGGAGTATATAAGAGATATCTCCACAAGATACAAAGTTCAACAGTTCAAAGTATAGATGTGAGTGTTCAGAGTAAGCTTGAAAAGAAATGGGTTTGATAGAGGAGTTTAAATTCAACTAAAGTGTGATTAATCCAACAAACAGGGAACTTTAGTTTAGTCCGTTTATTCTCCGAATATGCATAAAACCGGTTTGCGCGAGGCTTTATCTTATCGCGTTATGTCCAACATCAACCCCCAATTTCTGGGTGATGTATGATAATGTTACAATAACCTATGTACATACATATATATGCTGGCGATTGGAAGAGACTTTCTGGACTTTGCAAATCAAGATCGAGGCTTTAATTGCCTTAAAGTGAGGGAAAGCAATTAAGTGGAACTAGAATGGCTTTTGATTACGTAGCATTTCGCTGGGGGTGGGAAACGCTCTCCACGCAGGTGACTCATCCGCCCGCCCAGCGATTTGGCTCGTCTACTAGGATCTGGCTATATATATATATATATATGGCCGATTCAGGGTCCGAGAGCAACAATTATCGCGAT